GTAATCTTTGTTTAGTTTTATGATTTAATTCATGGATGCTGTGATAGAATTGAAACAAAAACAATATATTTTTAAGTTTTATGACTGCACACGCATTATTTCTGTATCGATTTTCAATTATTTCATTTTTTTTCCACAACAAAAAAAGACTAAAAGTAGGGTGTTGTTAATTTTATTCGATCACTTGTAGATTGTGTAAGATTCTAAACCACAGAGTTGACGAAACTTTGTCTCAGGTTGCTGATGTTAAGTTGTGTCCAGCACCGCCCGAAAACCCTGTTATTTTGGATACTTTTTCAACCATATTGCAAGTAAGAAAAAAGTGAATTTCTAATTTTACTAAATAACATGCTGATAATAAAATATCGAAAACACGATACATTTTACTTTAATAAACTTTTATATTTTTTAAAGTATGTAACATTTTTTAATTATAAATATTAAAATATGCACCGAAGAGCCATAACATTATGACCACCCTCCATCTATAACAATGGGCTTGCCCAGGTTTTCCTGGTTTCTCGCCCAGGAACAATGTTTTCATGGGGCACATTAGGACCCATAATCCTCATAGAACAATCCCTGACAACTGTAAACTACTTGAACATAGTTGCAGACCAGGTTCACCCATTCAGTGCAACAGTTTTTCCTGCGGGGGATGGATTAACCATGTCATAAGGGTCGAATCGTCATGGATTGGTTCGAGGAACATTCCAGTGACTTTCAAGTCATGTCTTGGCCCCCAAATTCACCTGACCATAATCCAATAGAGCATTTGTGGCCCTACTTGGAAAATCAAATTCGTGCTGCCACGCTACCCCCTCGCAATGGGAGGGAATTGCAGGACCAGTTGGTGAGCGCTTGGTACCAGATACCTCAGACTACCTCTCAGCACCTTGTGGAATCAATGCCACGGCGGTGCCAGCAGTTTTGAGGACTTCAGATGGTCCTACATGTTATTAGCAGGGTGGTCATAATGTAATGGCTCTTCGGTGTATAGTGCTTTCTTTGATTTCTATTTTCCAAGATAAACAAAGAAAAACATTATAAATGTAATTATCATGCTATAAACTTTTATAATTTTTCTTGTTCCTCAGTTTCTTTTAAATTACTATTATAAAACGTTCAATTTCAATTAAAATTAGACTTCATCATCTGAAGGAGCTGACTTTCTTGAGAAAAGAAGCCACGCTGTTGAAGATGCTGTTCAAGAAGTAATTCAAGTATTCGTAAAAGAAAGTTCTTTCAAAGAAGAAGAGGAAATATGTAATATTACTTTTCAATACAAAGTATCAAAAATTAAAATAAAATTATAACTGACTAATTAACATCAGAAGACCAAACATTCGATTGTTTTTCGATCCTAAGCTATTGGGATCGTATTTTCCAGATAGCAGCCATACCTCCTTCAATTTAAAGGTCAAAAATCCAAATCAGTCGAAAACAGTGCATGTTCAAAGAAATTACGTTTTTTGTGTCAAATTTTGTAATTTAACATAAACTCGTCACAAAATATTTCAGGCAAGTCTCGAAATTTTTTTTTTAAGATTGGATCTTAGTACATGACAATTCGATCAAAATTTATTAAGATGTTTTTTTATTTTGCTAACTCTGCAGAATTTATTATTACCTTAATTTAAAAAAAGTCGTATTCTTAATATTTGATTAATCAACTATTCGACTAATTTCGCTCACATTTTGTATTCTTCCATGCAAAATGACTGTCTTTAAAATGATGTAAAAAGTACCTTGCAATTAAAAAATTTGTTTCGATCATTATTAAATAAAAATATAAATAATTATTTTTCGCGGGGAATTATTTTTAGATGGACGAATTTTATAATTGTGAGCAAAAAGTTTTCAATTCACTTAAGTTGGCGAGATATGGCGAAGTACGAAAAAAAAAATTGACATTAAGGGGTCCAAACTTTGGTACGCTCTGCTGATCAAACTAGAGAAACCTTATTTCTCAGATGGCAGCAACCCTTAAATTTTGGGGATGAGAAATCCGTATCAGTCGAAAAAAAGACATGATTATTCAAAGAAAGTACATTTTTGTATCTGATTTTGTAACTTAAAATATCTTCTGCACTAACTAATTAGCGTATTGGAAGTCATTCCTTCCAACCTTTAAGATCAAGTCCTAGAATGTGAAGATCCGATCATTAGATCAAAAGTTATTCTGGGTCGTTCTTCTCTTTGTTTACATTGTTTAAACATTCATTTTCTAAAGACAGATTCTTAAGCACAAAAATCTTTGTTCGTTTAATACACAATATTTTGATGATTATTTATTCATTATTCCAATAATTTAAGAATTTCTTTTTAATAATTTTCGTGCTTGTCAATTCGGTTTTGTTTTGCAAAAAAAAAAAAAAAAAAACTAACAAGGGGATAGAAAAGACTAATGTAAGTTTCTCTGTATCATACGTTCTATCAAAGCTTAATATTTAAATAATTATTTCTTTTTTTTTTTCTTTTTTTTTTTTGGCTATTCAGGTAACATTATCTAATTATAGCTTCAGCTATACGCAATGAGTCCCACAAGCCTAAATATATTCTAACGTCAGGAAGATATTCGTTCTAGTGAATAATTAATCATTATAAGCAAAATTATGAAACATTGTCTGTAATTAAGCTCTAATCTATTGTATGAATGCAACAAATACAATTAAAAAAAGATAAATATGTTGCATTGCATTGTATAAAATTTTTAATCTTATTTTTTACATTAAACCTTTCATATTTAGATTAGATAAGTTTTATTAATTTGTTCGAATTTTAAAAAAATGTATCTTTTTATAAGTGATAACCGCGATAGGAAAACTAACATTACTTTTTATTTTTTTTAATAGCTAAACAACAGAGAAAGCAAATTGCGGATGTGTCAGTTGGGCTTCAACAGCAATGTAGCAAAAAACTATTGGAAAGTGTAATTGCATCCATTTGCAACTCTCTAGAAATATTGTTATATGGTACTTCATATAACGGTAAGAGTAGTCAGGGTTTTTGTTCTTCGTGTAACCTATTGAATAATTAATATATAAACAGTCTATTAAAATTGGTTTAAAGTTTAAAAGATATAGGCCAGGGCTGTTCAACTGGCGGCCTGCGGGCCACTTGCGGCCCGCCAACACATATTGTGCGGCCCGCCAACTTCTTATTCAACATATTTCTTTTTTCGAAATTTTATGGTATCAAGAAGCATCCGAGACTACCATTCTTGGTCAAGCAGAGGTCATTGATCATTAAAAAGATTATACTTATGATTTATAATATTTACTGTTCTTTTTTTGTGTTCTTATGATTTTTTAACTAAACGAAACTAATTTTAAACAACAAAAAAAAATTTTTTCTTTGCTTAAGATTTTAAGCTTAATTAAGATTTTAAGTAAAAAAAAATGCAAAGATGATGTAAATGCTTTGTTTTATATATTTATATGCAACTTTTTTTTGTAGATTAATGTGTATTAATTTATCCCACTTCGGTGTTTTGTGAGGGAAAAAAAGTCAACATAAGCAGGAAATCATTGAAAATGAAAAATATATTACCTATGTTTTTTAATATTTACTGTTCTTTTTTTTTATAAATAAAAAATTCAAATTTTTTTTTCAGAAAAGTTTTTTTTTTTACTATAAAAGTAATTTTTTTCTGAAATATATTTGCTTGCTGAAATATATTTGAGCAAGCTAAAGATTAATAACTTACAAAAGAAAAAAAGCTATCGATTAATAAGTAACAAAATAATACAAACTAACAAAAAACCATGCTTTAGTAATTAGCAACAAAAAAAGAAGAAAAAAATCTAATCTAATCTAACTAAATCAAACAACAAAAAATTAACAATTAATGCAAAAAAAAATTAATTAGTAACTAAAAACGAGCTAACAATAAATAACTAGTAAAAAACAAGAAATTTCAGATTAACATCGTAAAAACAATTTATTAACAGTTAATAACTAATAGAAAACAAAACAAAAGAACAATTAAGCGATACGAGTGAAAGAAAGCGAAATAAGAACCAACGCGACCTCCCTGTCTCCAACGAGATCGAGTTGGAGACAGGGAGGCAGACGGGAGGGAAGAGAGAAACATTTCAAATAAGCAAAACGTGAAAAATAAAGACCCCCCTCACTGACGCTGCTGCCTTTGTTGATTTCGAAAAAGAAATTGAGAGCGCGTTCGTCAACTCTCCGCTCCTTTCCATTGATGATCTTGATCTGACTGGTTGCGACGAATGTTAGGTTCTCAGATAAGCTTGCAGATTTTGGATATGAAGTAAACCTCTCTTGTACCGTAGCTATATTTTTTTGGGAACGTGTGAAAACTAATTTTATTGCTGATTGTAAATATTTTATCTTCCAACGATGAGTAAGAAACGGAAGATAGAGAGTGAGAATCGAGTGTTCCAGGACCGCTGGGAAACCCAGTATTTCATCACGAATAGAAAGGACAAACTCCAGTGCTTGATTTGTATGCAAGTTGTGGCTGTGTGTAAAGAATATAATGTCAAAAGACATTACGCGAGTCTTCACGAAGGGAGCCACAGTAAATATCAAGGAGAAGCAAGATCTCTGATAGTTTCAGAACTGAAATCAAAACTGCAAAAACAGACACTGGGATGTTTACTCAAGTAAAATCTGAACAGTACAATGCTTTGCATGCTTCGTATGCAATTTCACTTGAGCTTGCTAAAGCGAAAAAACCTTACACTGATGGCGTCGTTGTTAAAAAGTGTGCTGTAGAAATGGCAAAATTATTTGGTGATAGCAAAATGGCTAAGCATTTTGATTCAGTTCCAGCTTCTCATCAGACAGTCCAACGAAGAGTTGCCGAAATGGGTGACCAAATACAAAAAAAATTGTCCTATGAGATTGAAAAATGCTGCTATTTCTCCTTGTGTATCGACGAGAGTACAGACCTGTCGGACGTTAGTCAACTCTTGATTTTCATTCGCAGTGCTAAAGAAGACTTTGAGATCAAATAGGAGCTCCTTACCATGTGTTCTCTTCACTCCACAACAAAGGGTAGGGACATATTTGAAGCAGTGATGAAAGCGGTCAACAGTGTCGGAGGTTTTGAGAAGTGTTCCGTCCTAGCTACAGACGGTGCAAAGGCAATGGTAAGACCAAAGATAGGATTGATTGGATGTTTGAGAGAAAATGAAATGAAATGCCCTGCACTTCATTGCATCATTCACCAGCATGCTTTATGTGGGAAATCGGTGAAGCAAACTGAAACCCTCAAAAAAGTTGTGAAAGTCATCAACATGATCAGAGGTGGCAACAGGGCTCTTATGCATCGGCAGTTTCGTAACTTTTTGGAAGAAATTGAAGCAGAATACGGAGACCTGCTTATGTACAATCAAGTTAGGTGGCTTAGTGCCGGAAACTGCCTCAAGAGATTTTTCGAGTTGAGAAAAGAAATCCCTCTTTTCCTTCACCAGTTTTTTCCATCAGAAAACCTTGAACAAGAACTTTTGAGCATGGATTTTTCACGTCACCTGGCATTTCTAACTGATATTACTGGCCACCTCAACGATGTGAACTTAAAACTGCAAGGAAGAGGCCAACTGGTGTCTGATCTAATGGCACACATTAATGGGTTTAGAAGCAAGCTGAAAATTTTCCATGCAACTTTGGGAAAAAATAACTTATCTCACTTCGCCAGCTGCAGTCGTTTGGCATCCGAGTGTGAGGAAGTGCTGGATTTTTCTGAATATTGCCCTGAGTTGCAAACAATTATTGATGAATTCAACACGAGATTTTCTGATTTTGAGAGCATCAAAAACGACGTGGCTCTGTTTAATAATCCAGTCACAGCAGGCATTGAAGAACAACCGGCCAACCTACAATTAGAGCTCTGTGATCTTCAAGCTGACCCGTTCTTTCAAACAAGAACCGAAAGGGGGCCCCATTTCTTCAAGTTGCTTCCAACTGAACGGTTTCCAAATCTGAGTGACTTAGGACTGAAAATAACTTCCATGTTTGGGAGCACATATTTATACGAAAGTGCTTTTTCGGCGATGAAGTTTATCAAGAATCGTCACAGGAGCTCTCTTTCCGACAGTTCATTGTTAGACTCTCTTCGGCTGGCAACGACAAACATCGATGTTGATATTCCTGCCCTTGTAAAGAAGGCTGATCGGCCTCAGTTTTCGCATTAAAATGTAAGCAAATTGTTTTATAATTCTTTTGCTCCATTATTTTATAATTTATAATTCAACTATTAATTGTTATTGTATAAGAGGTTAGAGGTTATTGATCAACTTTTTCAAACTGCGGCCCACCAGGTGATTAGTGACCGGAATTCTGGCTCGTGGGCTCATTGCAGTTGGACAGCCCTGATATAAGCAAAATAAAATTTACAAACATCAACTTAAAAATAAATAATAAAATTAAAATGGTGTATAATACGAAAGCCTATTTAAATAATTATGGTTTTCAAGACTTAATTATGTTTTAAAATGGAAGAAATTTTATTTTTAGTCAATGGTTTTAATGTTGTCTTTGTGTCTGGTCACTTTTAATAGGTATTTTATGTAGTAAATAGAATTATATTATGTATAGATTTCTGAAGAACTGGTGAACAAACTGGCTCCTAAATCATATTTTTTCTTTTTTTAGAAAAAATGAGCCCAGAAGAAATTTTGTCAAGAAAACCCTGGTTTAAAAGTGAAATTCATTTGAAAGAAAACTCACTGGTTCTCATACCATCGGTAGAAGATGTTCAAGAAGCAATCAACAAAGCTGCTATGGACATTATATCTGCATCAAAACATATTAATCAATGGGTTTTTAAGGTAAAAGAAATTAACCATTTCATGCAATCTACTTCTTATTAGTTTGAAAAAAAATATTTTTCAAATTATTTGAACTATAGTGATTCATTTAGGGTAGAGCTTAGGGAAAAAAAAATTCCAGAACTTTAGTTTAATTGCGCAAAATTAAATTCCTAGTGCACTTTAGCATCCAAATAGAGTCTCGGTGCTGCCATCTAGTGTGGCAGAAACTAGACGTCCAAATTAACATGACCAACGGTATTTCACCCATTGTGTTGGTCCTGAAAGAGTGGATACCACCTCTGGAGAGAACGCTCTAGGTCTGCTCATCGGCAAGACCGATTGTGCAGCTCATTGGAAATTTAAAAAAAAAAAAAAAAAAAAATTATTGCGATTGGTCAATTTTTTATTTAAATTTTGTGATTTCTTATTTGAATTTGTCGGCGTCTTATTTCAATTTTGTGAGAAGCGAAACTCTCTGTAAATAACTTTAGAAAGGTAATAAAACTGGGTAAATTTTCAATCTTAATTGCAAGAGTAAGAGCAGGAAGAGAGAATATAAAAAGAGAAAAAAAACTTTACACAAAACTATATGGCCAAAAACAATGACATAAAAATGCTTAAAAAAGTGCTTACCAAGGAAAAGTTTTTTTTAAAACTTAAATTATCAGCTGTTACTCATGTATTTTTTACCAAAACTTTATAGCATAAAATTCAAATCTTGCAGGAATTTCGTAATGTATTTCATTTATTGTTATGAGCATTAAATTTCAGGAACCCAAAAAGAAGGAAGAGAAAAATACTAACTTAAATAAATCCTTCAGCAAATCCGAAATTTCTGCACTCTCTCTAACTTTATATCGACAAGTATCAGAAGATAAAGAAGTGTTGCAACTCTTCGGATCCATCCAAACTTGCTTAAAGAATACAAAACTGGTGAGTCAATTTAAAACTTAAGTTTAAAACTCTTTATCTAAAATTATAGTAAAAGTATAAGGGATGCTCAGATAAAAAGTGGATACATAAGATATTGCCACCATTTAGGCTATTTAAGGAAGATAGGAAAAATGCATCGCAGTTTGCATATGTATGATTAACCGGTATATATCAGTTAAGCGTCGTATCAGTATTTAAAGTAAATTTACAGTCGTATAAAAAAATTTCGCATCCGAAACAGTGCACAGCAGTATAGTTTTTAGAGCTAGACGGTGAAAGTTTGGTAAATTTTTACTATCAAACTGGAGATTGTTGATACCAAAATCTACCTCTAGAACATATGAATGTGAATAAATAGCGTAAAAATTTCATAACATTAATATCAGATTTGCCATGACTAGTGATAACAAACGCTATGATCTTCAATGAAACTTTTGCTTCTGATCATGAATTAATGCAAGGTAATAATAATAGTAATAATAATAATAATAATAATAATAACGATTTATGAAATTTGTGCATTACTCTATCTGAGTAAAGAAACAGTACAATCACATTCCGTCACTAAAGATTGTACTAATGCGCATTGTTCTGTTCCGATCGCATCGAACCTCAGTATTACTTTACATTCACTTGAAATGCTCTCATAAGAACTGATTAATCATTTTTACGCAATTAGTAGGGCACTCTGTCAAAAAAAAAATTTTCACTCTGAATGGTGCTGCTTTCGCTACTGTCTTTTTGAAGATATCACAGTAGTGTTCTTTTCCCCTCTTCATCATTAGAGCATAATGTATAATGATTTAGTTGAATTAGAGTGTGATTTATAATGTTTTAGTCGAATGTTTATTATTAATAAATATTTTTTTGATCTTTTAATATAAAATTTGAAAATTTGTGCAATTTATTAACAAGTTTAAATTGTAGGAGTTGGATAATTATTTGGATAGTTTCTCGAAGTATGAACACTTGTGGATGGAAGAAAGGAAGGTTGAAATAGAAAATTTCACATTTATAGAGAAAGAATTAATAGATTTTGAAAACAAAATAAAATATTACTTGAGTGTCAAGACTGATATTGAAGATGAAATCAATGAAACCACTATTGGTTGCATCAGACTATCTTTGGGTAAAATGTTTCTTTCTTTTTTTTCTTCCTAATCTAGTAATTTTGTATCTTTGAATTTTCTCTTTTGTCACATTTACTGTTAGCAAAAACAAGTTTTAAACCTAAAAAATTAAATTTTTTATTCGATTTCTCCTTGATAATGTAACTTATTAAGAATTATTATATCCTGTGTGTTTTATGTACTTTTTGTATTTTATGTACTTTTCTGTTTTTCTTGATTTTAATAAACATTTACCCGCATGCCCTAAATTGGGGCAGGTCAGGGTAAATATTTCATATCCTGTGTGTTGGTAGGCAGTGTGTCCCCTGAAGAAGTGCTCTCTTGCCAACACAAATATCTTTTATTTTATTGCTTTTTATTATTTTTTCCTGCATTATTGCTTGTTTGAATATCTGAATTATAATGCATATCATTTCAATTGTAAACTTGTTGAAATAATTGGAGGAAACATTTTTTTTGCATTATAAAAACTATGTTATAATATATTTAAAAAAAGGAACTGAAAATGAAATTGAACATCATACATTATTCTATTTTAATCTACCTCGTGGGAAAATACTGCTTATAATTATTGTATAAACAAAATAAATGTATAAAAAGCTAACTTATATCTATAGTTTGATTTTGTCAACCGAAGATGGTCCAACTATTACTAAACGGTCTTAGCATATAAATTATTTTTCATATGAGGCAGAAAAACTATATATTTTTTTCTCTGTTTGAGGAAAACTGAGGAAATTCAGGAAAAATATATTTTAACAAGCAGAAATTACAATGAAAACAAATCATTAATAATGTTATACTGAAATCAGGCTCATTTTGTGGTAAACTACAGTCAAATTTATTACGCTATGTTCTGAAATAAGTTTTCTATAGTATTTGAATAATAAATTAAAATTGACAAAAAATTTGAAACATTTTAATGGTATTCACTAGCCAAAAAATTAGTTTTCACATATTTCGAAAAGAAATTGGCAAAACTTTAAATGAATTGATGGTAAGTATTTTTACAATTAAGTCATACCGTCATATAGGATGTTCAGTAAGTACTTACATTAATATATACACCTAAATTCGGCAAAAATGAATTTAAAAAAAGCATAAGTATTAGATGTAGCAAATTAATATTTATGTAAATTAAAAAAATCTAATCAAAAGCCAGACTAATGCTCCATTGATCAAGGTGGAATTGAAAACATATCTAGTTTAAATATAATAATAAATATAATTTAATAACTTTTATAATTCAGTCATTAAATATAATTTAATAACTGAATATTTTTCTAATGATCGCTTTTAATCTCTCAATATCTTCTGACAGTCAAATTGTTTTTAATCTCGCTTTTCTTGTTGACGATTCACTAAGTTTAGATAACGATTTTTCCTTCCCTTGACTATAAATTTGTGACTTAAATATTAATTTTATGCAAATTTAAAAAAAAATATATATTAATAAAGACGGTGATTATTGAACTTTGAGGAGTGACAGACATGATTATTTCCTTATAAGTATCATCAGAAATTTTCTGTTTAAAACTCGTGAAAAAGATTTTAAATTCTAATTTAAGATTTTTTTTTTTCGTGTCTCCAGTACCTATGAAGAAAGTTCTGAGTTCAGAAGCTTGGAATTGGTGTGAAGCGTATGGAACATCTTGTCGTAACAAATACAAATCTAAAATGCAAAGTTGCAGTCAGGTGGTAAAAGGATTCATGCAAAGACTGAATCAGCCATTTTCTACTACAGAGGAAATAAAACAATTGATGTCAGTTTTGGAAGAAGTCAGAGAAAAAGAAGTAGATATAGATTATGAAATCATGCCCATTGAAGTAAGGAACCATTGATATGTTATAAAATGTTATTGTTTGCGAAATCGGAAAGTAATGTCGTTAGCGCGAGTGGTTTATGCGTTCATTGCGAGCTACAAAGTCGTATCAAAGATAATTTAAGTTTCGAGTGACTTGTTTTAAAGTAATTAATTAAATATTATTATTAATATTATGATAATTATTATTACCAATTTTTTGTAAGTAATTGTGAAATGACAAGCTAAATACCAGAAAAGATACATATCAGGTGATCCAATATAACTATCAATATAATAATAACTAATCAGGTGATCCAATAAACTATAACAAATGGTGATCCAATTGTCAAAGGTATCTTAATATGATTGCTTTCATCAGTCAATTGTAAGTTGTTCTTGATATAATTTTTTAAGTTAAAAGTTCAAAAGCTAATGAGGTTCATTGTGTGCATTTTGAATTGCAAAATGAAATAAAGCAACAACTGCTACCACAACATTTAGTGTGTTTATTAAAGTGTATTAGATGTTCGCAAATACCAAGGGTGTTTTTCAAAGTTAAAAACAGGTTATTTTGCTCTTTCCCATTCATTTCGATCAGGAAAAAAAATTATTTGAGGTGAGTGGTGTGGGCTGTTTTTTCACAGCCAGCTACATCATCATTGTGTAATAAACTCTTGAGAACTGATTTTCCACGGTACTGATTTGTCAAAACTTAGGAATTCTCAAGCAATAACAAATGGTGATCCAACTGTCAAAGGTATCATAATATGATTACTTTCATCAGTCACTTGTTAGTGGGTCTTGATATAATTTTTTAATCTAAAAGTTCAAAAGTTAATAAGGCTCTTCCTATGTTAAGTACACTGTAAAAAATTCAGTAAAATTACTGAGAAAAAAAACTACAATCCTTGTTAATTATAGAAGTCATTGTTCAAACGCATAAAACCGAGTTTCTCTTTAACAAGGTTACCGAAAATTCAGGTTTTTTCCTGCTCACTTGACTAAAGGTACTTTCAATATTTTAAGGGATTGTTATTCATTTGATTGAAAATCTTTCACCCATTCGGTGCTGTGGGTAGAATTTTGTTTTACTAGACATACGGCCAGGGTTTGATTCTCTGTGCTTAAAGCTAGGAATCTGATCGATTTTCCTTTAACTCTGATCCTATCTTAATGGTAGAGATTCCCATGTAATGTGAAGTCCACGGCACTTGATAAAGTAATGACTTCAGCATGTCCTAAAAATAACTGATGAATTTTAAAAATAAATTTAAAAAAGAAGGTGATTAAAAAGGATAGTTTGCTGATCAGGAAATTAGGGATTTCATCCCCCCAAGTAGCACATTTAGCAAACTTCACGTCAATAGGTGGCGTTACAGGTATGCGAGAGCTGTAGATACATTGAATCCTTAACATCCCCAGTCGACATGCTGCCATGCAATCTGTTAGTGAGTACTTATGAAGATTTTGATGAGATTCACATGTAAAGAACAGCGAATATTTTTCAGTTTATTTTTCATGATCATTGTTGAACAGCTGACCCAATTTTGAGTTTTCGACTACCAATTTTTAGTTTCGTAGCCTTGTAACATTGAACCCAATCCAGAAGATAAGGGAACTCATGGATCAAGTACTGGGAAAAACTTGCCTTCGTGGAGGACCCGCATTTGCATTACATGGAGAGCAAAACTACGTAAATCTCCCACGGTTAGCCTGATGGCAAGGAGAGTCTAATTTATGATCCGTCTGCCATTAAAGTTATTTTTTGTCAGCATTGGGGTTGGTGCGAGGCTGTTGGGCAATTCATATTGACCAACCAAAGCTGGGGTTCCGACCCAGTTTACTTCATTTGGAGGCGAGAGCTCTATCCTCTGAGATCCTACGCCTCGAACAGAGGATATTCTTCGTTTTGGAGAAAACCTTCGTTTGAAACATGGCTGTTTATAGACGGCACAGTTTCCAAAATCAATTATTTCTATAGTGCTGCTCCACCTATTGGCGGAAAGTTTAACTAAATGTGCAAATTGGAGGGAGGAAAATCGCTAGTTTCCTTATCATAATGTAGCAAACATACGTTTTTATCTCTTTCTATTCCTTTTTTACTGATTTTCAAAAAACATCCGTCATTTTTTAGACATCCGTTAAGAGTCTGATAGTAATTTACAGAGTTTTATTTACTTTATTTCCGTTTATCTACCAAGAGTGTAAATATTTTACAGAAACTTATTGCTTTAAATTCTCCTGTACTTTTACACGAGACTCCTTCTAAGTAATCTCTAAAATGTTCTTGTGCAAAACATTTTTTACAGAGTATGCATATCATTGACTGATCTGTTTTTTCTAGGAATGTTATGTGACACTTTCGTCTTACAAATTGGTTCCAAACAAGGAAGATCTGGACTCAGTCGAAGCTCTCCGTTATACCTGGGAGAAGACTCAAAAGCTGTCTATAGATACGCAGAATTCTCTTCTGGATATGAAAACTCAGTTTCAAACACAGCTCAACAACAGCATTTCAACATTTACTGCAGAATTTGAAAAATTTCAGCTCGATTATCAGGAGGTAAGAAAAAATTCCGTTTTTATCTTTTTTACGCATTTTTTTTCTAAAGACTTACAATTGTCTCATCAAGTAAAATTTGCTTTATTTATGTAATAAGAAGGTGTATTGAATAATAATATCTTTCAAATTCGATGCAACCACAACTTATTGTTAAGTTATACCATATTGTATACTGAAGCTGAACCATAGTATACCTTGATTATAGGATACTAGGGTTAAACATGGGTTAAACTTTGGTTTAAACTAATACATGACTTAATTTAACATCCTGTTAAGCTTGAAGCAAATTATGGCTTATCCATAAACGAATTTTTCTCAAAGTGGACGTAAACACTGGTACAGCGATCTCTTATTAATCTGTCTTAGTTTTTTTCGGGTTGCACTTTGAACTTGATTATTTTGCTACACTTTTTTTCTTTTGTTTGTTCATTTTTGAGTAAGACTTCAAAATCCTTATTGCAGAACCTAGCAGAAAAAGGTATTAAGCGAAATTCTAGGAAAAGACAAAACTTTGGGTTTAAAATCATGCTATAATTAGTTTTATTCGTAGAACCTAATTTTTTATGCTTTTTAATAAAATTGGTGAATTTAAGAAGGAAATGTGTTTCGTACTTCAGGATCAAGTATTGGGAGAAATTCGTCTTAGTTTTTGATGGAAGTAACCCACATTAACGTTACCTGGAGAGAAAAACTCGAAATCCTCCCACGGTTATACAGACGGCAAAGAGACTCTAACCCATGATTCGTGTACTACTGAGGATATTTTATGTCAGCATTGTGGTCGGTGTGAGCCGGGGGCGGAATTCGTATCCACCAGTTATCGCTGGGATTCGAATCCAGTTCAACTTATTGGAAAGCGAATGCTCTATCCCCTGAGCCACCACGGCTCCTTGCTTCTTGTTTTTTTATTATATCCGTCGTTGAACAGCAGACCCAATTTTGGGTTTACGACTACTAATGTTCAACTCTGTAGCCTTGTAATTGTGAACTAATCCAGAAGACAAGGGAACTCCTGGATCATTACCCCAGAGGTATTGATTTGTTATGGAAACATGGAGGACTTTGTTACTCGACAGATATAACGTGCATCAGTCACCATTTACTACACGGGGAGTCTTCGGCCAGCTGGGATCGAACCCACGTACTCTTGGACACGGGACCAGTGCCCAACCAACCAGGCTATCTCGGCCTCTTGCTTCTCGTTCTAGTTTTTTTTTTAAATTGATGATCCTTTAATTACTAAAATGTCACTTGAAATCTTCTGTTCTGAATCTTTTCTATTTTTAACGCCATCTGATGGAATCGATTTAAAAAATGTAAAATATTTAGGTTTGGCACAATATAGCTGACTTCGGCTCTAGAGAAATTCAAGTCTATATCGAATAAATTCAATCTATTGGATAAAGTGCTGCGAAATAGACTTTCTACGCATATCAGTATAACTAAATATAACTTCAATTTATTTGAGAACTCGCCAGACATAATGTTCCCATTTGTTTAAACAATTTCATTTTTCTTCTTCTGTTTTCTGAGAGCTTTAGTTCGCAAATGATTGTCAGATTTAGGACAAAATAATATATGCTTTTTATAATAATAATGTTTTATAGTCTCTAATTTCCTAGTCTATAGTCTCAAAAAATTTTAATACTTTTACAATTAAGCACTAAAATTATAAATAACAAACATGTAAAATGTATAAGTAAAACATTAGAAATTACTATGTTTTACAATCGTAATCTGCTATTAAAATTACATAATAAAGCTGCTATTTTATGGTTTTATTTCAGAAAGGACCACTGGTTGTTGGTTTATCAGCAATGGAAGCATCCAATAGATTGGCTGAGTACCAGGTAATATTTTTTACACTCAGCTTTTTTTTACCCTTTAAAATCCTGCTACTAATTATGTAAGTTCATCTATAACATATTTTTTTAGCAATTACATTGATTTTCACGTTTCTTCACTAAACTTTCTTATTGTTTATTAGTAAATAACTGAAAACAAGATGAATGTGCTTCATGCTAATTTGTTTACAAAATACAACTGAATACAAGATAAATGTGTTTCATATTTATTTTGTATGTCAAACGACAAGCAAAAAATTTATTAAGAATAAAAAAATTACTGTACATATTCACAGAAAATTTTATATTCGTAGACAAAGTCTATACAATATTTTTACGTATACAATAGTTTTACGTATTTAAAATAAAGGGAAGTTTCACACTGCTTCACATTTTGTACATAAACAATAATGTTGTTTAGATTGATAGTATATGATTTTAATATTAACACTTACCCTAGTATCAAAACTTATTGTTTTTTGTTAAAAATTAATAATTTTGAAATGAGCCGACCGGGTAGTAGTCAGGGAGGTGACCTAGCATCAGATAGGTCCTGGGTTCAAATACCGGGCAAGGCATGGATGTTCTTTCGTTCTCTGTATTATCTGTCCTTACTGTGGGAGCAACGTCGGCCTACCTAATATGGTTTTCCCCTGAAAGAGTGGCCAACAAATCTGCTCTACTGATAACTGAATGACTTGTGTCGGGCATTGGAAGAAAAATAATTTTGAAATGATTGTTGTAAAATTTTTTTAGCGATTACTTTGATTCCATGTTCCTTTTCAAAATTTTCCTTTTTGTTCATTGTTAAGGAACTGAATACAAGCTGAATGCTTTTAGTGCTTATTTAAATGATAAACAAAAGTTTGATTCAGAATAAAAGAGTTAGTATCCATACTCACTAAAATTTTTTAATTTATATACAAACTAAGACATAAGACGTATTTAAAAATAAGGGGCAATTTCATACTGCTTCATATTCTATACATAAATAATGCGGTTTACATTATTAAAGGAAGATTATTTTAAATATAAACACTTATTCTACTGTCAGAACTTAATATTTTTGCTCATGATTAATAATTTTTAAAGGATTATTAACAAATATTCTAAAAATCAACAATGATTTAAAAAGTTATTTAAAGAAAAATTGAAAGAGAGAGAAATTTAAAATTGAAGAATTAAATTTGCAGAAAATAACGGTATTCAGAGTATTTCTTAGGAAGCAATTAATATATTTGCGAATAATTGTTAAACTTGTCCTTGAGTCACGCTGTTGCTGTAAATGGTTGTTATTTTGAACATTGCTAATAGTTTTTCGTAGTTAGTAGCACCGTGAGTTTACAAACTGTGCAATCAATTCACAAACTTCGTTGGAATAAATTATATGGTTTTCTAAGATGCATTGAACACACCATGCATTACTATATCCTTAAGCCATCTATTACTATCTCCTTCTTCGATTCATCGTTTATTTTCTGGAAATACTGTATTCTGTTTATTATTTCTTTCAGAATCGCTTTGAGGCACTTTGGCAAAAATATATGACGTACACAGATGGAGCTATACTATTTGGTTATAAATGTAAAGAATTTCCTCGCTTGCATTACATTAAGAAGGAGCTGGGAATGATGCAGAAGCTGTACAAGTTGTACAATGATGTTCTGGACAGAGTTAACGGATATCAAGATATTTTGTGGAATAATGTAGACATTGATAAAATCACGAATGAACTGATAGAATTTCAAAATAGGTAAGAAAAACGCATTGCACCTTCTACTTTTTTATCAACTATGATTATTCGTCTATGTCGATATTAACAGAAAAGTATATACTTATGAACAAAAATACATAATCGAAACAGAAATGTTATATTTTGTTTCATCGAAACCTTGGTTTATCTTTTTGGATAATGCATCAATATATATATTTTTTCTTGTGCAGCGGTAAGAAAATGTTAAAAATAACCAACATTTATCGAACTTATTTTGTTGTTTACTTGAAAAAATAGTTGGGATACTAATGGCTTTTATACTCTTTTAGTTTATTTTAGTTAGTGTTTTTATGCATCGGAATGTCTTTTTATATTTTTGTGGACGTAAGTCAGATTATATTCTGAGATGCTTTTTATACTTTAATGGGATTTAATCTAGTTACGCATTAGGATGACTTTTACACTCTTATGAGGTCTTAAATTAGTGTAATTATGCATCGAAAAGTCTTTTATAATTTTTATAGGACTTGAGAGGCTCTTTCTCTCCCGGCGAAACTTAACTGTTGAAGAGGTGAAGGGGAAATTTTAAATATTCTTTTAATCTTTTTATTTAATTTTTACTGATGATGGGTATTTCATCTATTTGGCGGTATCTTTATACACAGATAAAATACAAGGTCGCCACTCATTTACAATTTGAGATCTAAAGCCTACGGTTAGACTCACTTTTAATTTTCCCTGACAAAATTATGTCAATACAATTCCGCAATCATCAGTTTTTGATAAGTAGTTGAATAGTATACAGTTCCCTGTAATTAGATTTTTATTAAGTATCTTTGTTTTTATGCAATTAAAATTAAAAGAATCTTTTAGTGCCATCCAAATCAGTTTTCATTAGCTTAAACTGTTAAAAAAATGAGATTTAAAAAACTCGAAAAACTGAGGAGCGTGAAGTTTTTAATTATTACAATAACCACAAAATGCCTCAGTTTACCGCTTTCCGATTTTGAAGAAATATTTTTAGAATTTCTAAAAATTACTAAATGTTGTTTCTTTTAAGATAATAACCCCTTTATTTTCTACCTTTTTTTAAAAGTATTTTGTTGACTAATAACACTTCATTATTAAAAGTTTGTTAAGTGCAAAAAAATATCAATAAAATACAATTAAAAATTTAACTTAGAATTCAAGATGGTGATGTTAGAGGACTCTTAAATTAATACATTTAAGTTTGAGATTGTTTTTATAATTTTATGGGGCTTAAGATAGCGTATTTAAACACTGATATGATTTTTATATTTAAATGTGACTTAAGTTTATTAATGCACGTGGATGATCTTTATACTCTTATGCGCTGGAATATTTTTTCAAATTTTTCACAGACTAAGTAAGTTTTTCCTACAGCATCAAAAACAGGTGCTAAAAAAGGTTTGAGTCTGTTTCAGTGCAAAATTGTCTAGAAGACGTAAAAACAGAAGAATAAAAATTAAAGAAATAAATGAAAAAATTTACAGTAATGGCAAAATTATTGCAATATATTCTGCAAAATTAAGTGCATTGGCTTGATAAGGGTAATATCGTAAATCTCACACTTCAAACTGAAATTTTTAGACAAATTTTTGTTTGCAAAGCGTATTTTACTTTCTAGATGCCGAAAATTGCCGAAAGGCCTAAAAGAATGGCCAGCTTTTACTACCTTAAAGAAAACGATCGACGATTTTAACGAATTGTGTCCATTGCTGGATCTCATGACCAACAAAGCCATGAAAAACAGACATTGGAAGAGACTTATGGAACTAACAGGCCAGGAATTTGATATAGGGTGTCCCCATTTTTGCTTGAAGGACATCTTGAAGGCACCTTTGTTAAGTCATAAAGAAGATATTGAGGTGAGTGTTTATTGAGTCAAATATAATCTTAAAACGTACTAGAAAAAGTTGTTAAAAATAACTTAACTCAGAGATAGATTTTAGATGTTAAGTTTAATTTCCAGAAAAGAAATGTCGTCAACCGGAATTACTTGGTCTACTAAGTTTATTGTGCCCATTTTTTAAAGGTTACAATGATTAGTATGAGATATCAGTTCTAATGAAAAAAGAATGAGAATTATATGGAGAAAATGGTTTTAATGAAGATATTTTATGATTCTAATGAGGAAAGAAAAACAGTCAAAATGATTTAAGAACCCTGAACTCACAAACAAGAGAGTTTGAGGCTGTGAATTTCTCAAAATTTTTTCTTTCGGGAAAAAAGTGCTTTGATGAATTTTCTGGGCGAAATTTTAAGCATACGCAGTTAGAAATTTCTCAGAAAAAAATACTTAAATCACAATTTATTTAATTGTTACTTCTCAAATTCAAACAAAACACTCGAATAATCATAAATGCGATGGTAATCATACTGTTAAATGGGATTTCAAGCCGTTTATTAACTGCTTCCAATAATATGGTTAAACAACCAGAATTTTATTGTTCCAACTAATCCCACCTAAAAAAGCCACTTAGTTCCTTGCATCTGAGTACATATAATAGCCAAGAGGGTTAACCTGTAAGTCTCATAACTGACCGAATAGGGAAGGGGGTCGAGTCCCAGCTTCGACACCACAATATTTCTTCTATTCCCTTCAACACGGGAAGTGTTTCCAGTGCCCTGTACTCCTCAGGTGGTGTCCTGCATTCTCCAACGCCCATTACCTAACAAAAAGCCTAGTTCCTATGTCCAATTAAATTTCTTTTTCTCAGGATTTTGAAACCATGCTAATTGTAAATGGTTAAAAAAAACATACAGTTTCGCGTTCATGGTCTTATAACCATACTAGTTGTAAACGCTTTCAAAACCGTAAAAATATTCCTAGCAGTAAACTTTACGATTAATTGGATTGGCAGACTGCTGCCAGTTATTTAATCATAACTTTAGAATGAAAATTCTAACAGTGTATCTGACTTGGAATTTTCTTGCGAGAGAATTTTAGATAAAAGGAAGTCGTTAACTTTTGTTGAAAACTAAATGAATCCAGTATGTTGCTTTCAAAACACCATCTTCAGATAAATTAAGTGGTAAATAGTTTTTTGGAGAAGATTTCTCAATTTTTTTCAAACAGTTTTAGTCATATCACAAACTTATACTTTTATTATCATTTCTCTCATATTTCTGACAAGTAATCATTTACCAAAATTAACCAGAATCTAACAATTTAGCGAGTAATCAGTTTAACTTATAAATTGACACAAGATTGATTGATTGATTTAATTAAAATAATAGTAAATACTTTTAACTGATCTCTAGTTTAATTTGGCACATGCCTCCAAAGAAATACCATTGTTCAGGAACGACTTTAAACGCACTTTTCTTTTAAAAATTGTCTCTGTAACATATAGGAAAAGTTTCTGTTATCTAAATATTTTTACAACCTAGTTCTTGAAGTTATACTAAAAACGAAAGCAATGAAAATGTAACTGAACTCCATTAATTAATTCCATTAGCACTCCAAGCCTAGATTTTATTTTCCTTTCTCCAACAGATACAGGACATGGATTTCATTAGAAATTCAAAATAAAGCGAAGTATGGAATATTTTATATAACTAGCCGACTTTGATGACCAGCTTGGTCACCTTTAAAAATAATCATGTACAACTTATAAATTTTTATGGTAACTAAGAAGAATGCACAACACAACTGTATTTGAACATTTTAATTCTTCAATCCCTTTACCAATTCTAACACTTCAATTAATTTTAAATAATATATTAACCGAATTTTCACTTTCTAGCTGTTGCCCACGACTTTGTCCTCGCGAAAGCACTTTGATTTAAATTTTACCTATTTTCAAGATAGGCTCTCAATATTGTCAAAGTTCTTTTAGTGTTGAATTTCACTACTAATTGGTTCAGTTAATAATCAGTCAGGCAGTCATTAAATTGCAAAAACCACCGTAAATATGAGCTCAGGACATTTCAGCACAACAGGCAGAAGAAAGATAGAAAACTCAAGCGAGACAAGATAGAAAACTCATTCCAGTATTCCATTACGTGTTCTACTATTTACTCACGCACCAATCGATCCATAACTTGAGTATCATATAAAATATACAAGCTATTGCTCGAAAAGGGCAAGTTCCGTCCCTAATAATTGATATGACAGTATGCTGCAATAAAATTACGACAGTAAAATCACGACATTAAAATTACGACATTAATAATTTATGTTTAAAATTACGACAGCCATTTTAGAAGGTATCAAAAATAGATCTAAATAATTAATTCTTAACTAAATTTTTATTATTTCGATCTATTCTTTATAAATTTTTATTATTAGATCTAAATTTCTATTATATTATAAAAATACAAAATTTATCTAAATAAACACTTAACGTATTGAACAATATTTAAATTATTACCTACGACCATCTAATAAAATGAATCTGAATAAATACTTAATGTATAACTAATTTTTTTAACACTACTTAAGTTATTACTTTAGACAATCTAACAAAATGAAAAATAACTATACAGTTGCCAATAGACAGAGAAATACTCGAGTTCATGATGCAACATGAGGGAAATATATATATAGATTACAACCAGAAAAAATAAATTTTTTAAACTTTTTTTGCAGTAACAATGTAGGAAATTTTTAAAAATATCTGTTTTTATAACAATTTTATTTTTCTTCAACCTATCTTTCATTATAATGTATTTCAAAATATTTAATGAAATGAGCGCTATATTTTTTTCAGCTTGAAATTCTTTATAGATAGTAATTTGCATTTTATACTTCAGGATATTTGTATATCAGCATTAAAAGAGCGAGATATTGAAGGAAAGCTGCGCCAAGTGACTTCTGAATGGAGCAATCAAAATTTAACTTTTGCAACTTTTAAGAACAGGGGAGAGTTATTGCTGAGAGGAGACACCACAGCCGAAATTATTTCTTTATTGGAAGACAGTCTCATGATTCTTGGGTCTTTACAAAGTAATCGGTAAGTAAATTGAAGGAATATTTTAAATTTTTATTTGTAGAGGATAATTTTTAATAATTGGGAAGGGTGATAAATTTTTAAAATATTTTTTCGTTAAAGATATCTTTTTAGTCTAAGATATCTTATCTTTTCTCTTATCTTCCCAAGGATTGAATAGTAAATGGAAAAAGCACATTTTTAACCAGTTGTTTAATTACACAAAAACTGCACGGACAAAAAAATTCTGGTAAATTGCCGTACTGCATGCTAATAACATTTCTGAAAAGAAAAAAAACTAAAATTCTGGTTAATAAAACCATAATATACAGTAATTAAACCAATCATTTGATAATTTTCCATTCATATAGTAACGGTTTACCGGAAATTTCAGTTTCCAAAATTGTAGTTCTAATTATCACGCATGCAGTGAAAAATACGAAACTGAAAAGTAAGTTTAACCGAATAAATGGAATCGAACCGAATATTATCGAATAAACCGAATAAATTTATGTCCCACTTTAAGGCATCGTGGTTAAGTTTCCAAATTTTACCACATTTATCAAATTTCATCACATATTATGCATATATACACACATATGTGCAAATATATATCATATATTTATCATATATATATATGCATATTTTATTACCTTATTTGATTGTTAATTTCACCAAAATCAGTACCAAAGCTCATCAGTAAAAATTGCCGACGTTTTTGTTTTTTATCATAGAACCAGAAGCACATTAAATTTTACCATATTCTGGTTGTTTTGCCCATATTTTTTTCTCAGTGTGGATTATTCACTTCGTTTATTTTTTAGCAGGAAAATTTTTTTTAAATTCTTTTTTGGGAGGAGATATTTTTCCTGCTCTTTTCTTTTCCTTTTAATGTATACTTTCAACTTCGTTGTCTCGAAACATTTATTTAAAACACCTTTATAATCAATCCTTTAACTGGACAGGAAAACACAATGGTGCCGTTTCTAAACGCCAATTTTAGTTCTTAATGAGGCTTATAAAATATTAATGTCAGTTCCGTTAAATATTTCTTTTATTTAAATCAGAGTTTATAATAATATTGATTCACAGTTCTAATGCTCTAATTACCCTGTAAAGAATGGCATTGCAGGGGATAGTTTTAATCATTTTTAATTTTGTTTTTTGAAAAAAAAAAGCTTGATATATTAATACTATGGATGATATCTTTGAAAGATTTTCATTGTGTTCTTAAATAACTAAAACTTGCTAAATTTAATTTTAAAAAATCAAATGGTAAATGTATTTTTGTTTTCGTGTTTTGAAATAGGGGGCTCTTACTATAGTTGAACGGGATAGTATTGCCCAGTAATTTGTCAATTTGTTAAGTTTAAGATGAGTAGGTGTTAAGATTTAACTGCATCCTTTAAAGTGTAAAAACGCTCCATTAGGCATTAATTTGAAATAAAGTAATCAAATTTTTCAACAACAAATTTGGATTTGTATTACACCACAATTTTTAAAGTGTATGGGTTGCATTTTTAGGTACAACAAAATGTTTTTTGTATATTTTTTTTGAATCTAGCACTTTTGATACCCATCTCCTAATATGGTTTATAAACTGATATTAAAATGACATAAATTGATTTCCAGAAATGCTTAATATACAATATATGAAACAATGCTTTTGATGTGAAGTTTTTTTGAGCTTTTTTAAACTGGGCGTATTTCAAATACACTATGGAAATTATTTATAACTACAAGAAATTACACAATATATATTATTTATTGTATTTGAAGTATTGCTTATTTAAACGAATTACTCATAAGTTAGCTTGCATCGCAAAGGAATTTATAATGCATCTCAAAATTATAATTCATTTTCTTTTGACTTTCATGCTTCAAGGTACAATGCACCATTCAAAATTCAGATCCAAAAGTGGGTTCAAGATCTCTCAAATACTAATGAATGTTTGGAAAGATGGCTTTTCACACAAAATATGTGGGTGTACCTGGAAGCAGTATTTGTTGGTGGTGATATAGCCAAACAATTACCGAAGGTATTTTAGTGTTTTTAGTATAATCAATAACTGCAAAAGTTTTAGTTTTTAACCGATATACACTTCAATAATTGTAACTTAATAACTGCGAATAAATGAGTGATTAAAAAAAATTTCTAAACATAAATCCTTGCGCTTTTAAAAATGCTTTCCACGATCACAATTTTCGTAATTTTTTTTAAGTTGTTATATTCAGCAAGGTAAAAAAAGTATTATTCTTTTTATAGAGAGTTTTGATAACATTACAAAAAACAAATGATGATACACCAATTTTTCTCGGAAAACACAAAACACTCTAAATAATAACGTCAGTTTCAATACAGAAGTAGTACAACAATTGGGTACCTGCAAGTGACGTCGTTGTAGGTAAATCATGTCATTCATCGATTCAAACTCAATCAGGTATGACACATACCTTGTGACGTCGCTTACATGTATTCAATTAAATCTGATTTAAATCACATGTTAAAGCATAATCACTTCACTTCTTCAAGTACCCAATGGTAACTTGTTATAGAAACTATTTTTTTAATATTTACTTATTTTTTACATAACATACTTCTATTTATTAAGTGTTTAGTTTTATTACTACTGCTGAACAAAATAAATTTCTGAGATCATATTTGATATTAAAACCTTCTATATTTAAACTTAATTTTTAATAATTACGGTATCGAACTAAGTTCATTTTGCGAAGCAAATTATTAACGACATTTGTAATTATTAATAAAATTATTATCGGCAAAATTCTAATAAGAGTTCCATTCGTGCAACAATTTCATAATGCAATTATAATACTGCTTTTTTGCATTTTGCAAAAACAAGTCTTGCGATGATAACGTGGATAGAGGAGATAATTCTCTTTTCAACAGTTTACTTTCAATTATTATGAATGATATTTCATGATAAATACAAATTGTTCCGTGGTGATCATCCTTAACTTAAAATTTAAAATTTTTGAAAAAAATGTAATCAAGAAACTGTGCATCATAAATTTATTTTAAAGCTAGGAAATAATAAAAACGCTTTCAAAATTTGTGTGCTAGTAGGGTGCATCAAATAAAAAAAACGTTATAATAGAAATAATAGTAAAAACTTATTTCTATCTCCATTCAACTTATTTCTATCTCCTTCAACAATCAAACATGTTTTCATGTCTCTACCCTCATTTTCTTACTTGTAATTGCTTATATCTCAAAAACGATTCTGTTATTTTTCTGTTTAAATTTTAATCTGCCACCCAAAATGTGCGCAACTTATTTTTATAGCTGACTTTTAGTTTCACTTTTGAGAAGGATTCTAAAAATGATTATTAAGAGTATTCATTTAGGAAAATTCCCCCTCTAAGGTACACTTTAATAAATTTCCATAGAATTCATATAGTTAGCTGTTAATTTATTCGGTAAGCACCCTTCTTTGAGGAAAAGCCCAACGTCCGTTATTGTAGCGAATTCAGAAAAAATCATAGAGTTGAACGTTGACTTATAAGGTTATTATATAAAGCTTCCTTACTTAGTTCGGGGATGAGAATTTTTTTCCCGAAGTGGTTACAACATCAGGATTCGGGCACAAAGATCCCGGGTTTGATCTTAGCCGGCACCAAAGAACATCTATCTAGCTTTTCCTCTACCTTAATAACCACAGGAAAATAATATGCAATTTCCCTCAATCCTCGATAAATGGCAACTGTACGCTACTTTGCCACGTTTCACAATTTGCCTTGAGTCGACTAACAAATCGCCCGAGTCTCAGACAACGTGAAAAAAGACGAAATTAAGGTATTTTTTAAGAGCATAAAATTAATTTACTTACAGTTGCCATATAATTTACGAGAAAGAATTTACGGTCATAATTTAGGTCATACAGTCAAAGTATATATAGTCTTTTCATTTTGAGCTTTATATTTTATTCGAAAATTTCACGATAGTCTAAAGCAATGTTTGTTATTAATGCATTTTACACATGGAAACGATACGAGTAAAAAGTACATTAATTCATTAAAAATTAAAGCTATACGAAATACATTAGTTTTTAATAAAATTATTTGAATATTTTTTATTTTTTGTTAAAATTTTCATTATAGGAGGCAAAGCGTTTCAACACAATTGACAAATCTTGGGGAAAGATTATGATCCGTGCTCATGAAAAGAGCAATGTTGTTGAATGCTGTGTTGGGGACGATACTTTGAAGCAATTACTGCCTTATTTGCAAGAACAACTTGAAATTTGTCAAAAGTCATTAGCAGGGTAGGTTTTGTTTTAAAGTAATTTTATTTGGTGTATACCAACTTTTTATAGTAGCTGTTTTATAAATTTATTTATGTTAAGTGTTTCTCTTACATAATATGAATATTACAAAAAAAACTTTTGTTTCAATTTTAATAATTTTTTTCACATTTTAACTGAAGTAATTTGGATCAGGTCATACAGTCAACGTTACGACACGGAAATTTTGGAACTGGTACAAATTCTTTCAACTTTTGAAAAGTAAACAATCTTCCAACTTTTGAAAAGTAAACAATCTTTCAACACTCAATTTTTCGAGTGATCATGTTCATAGTTTTCACTTGACGTCAATATTCTTTATTTAATAATAATTCCTTTATCGATAATTTAAAAAAATACATAAGAAAAACAAACTTCATTAAAAAAGTTAAAATCTTGAAAATAATAAAATATAATTACAGATTTTTTACAAACTTTAGGAACATTATTATTGAACTTGGTTTCGTTGTTCTGCTTAAAGTGCATCAAACAAATTCTCAATTTCTAAAGGTATATTTTATAAGAATTTTAATCTTCATGAAAAAGTTACTATAAAAAATATTGTCGATGAAACGTCAGAAAATAATTTGTATATAAATGAAAAGTTTATTTTCAAAACATTTCAATTATGCACAAAATCATTCGTATATATCGAAAACAGAAGAATAGAATAGATAAATTCTTCTCTTAAGATTAAAACCAATTAATATTTTACTTCAGTTTTCTACCAGTATCGTCAGAACAACTTAGAGCGAGCACCAACAACTCCAAGTCAGGGAAGTGACCCAATATTCAATTTTAACCTTAATGTTTTTGTAATGTTTAATTCTAATCTTTAAATGTTTTAATTTTAATATATTTCATTAGCAACACTTTCTTTAATGTAGGTATTTGGAAAAGAAACGATTGATGTTTCCTCGATTTTTCTTTGTCTCCGATCCAGCTCTTCTGGAGATTTTAGGTCAAGCCAGCGACTCACATTCAATTCAGAGTCACCTTCTCAGCATATTTGACAATACAAAATCCTTAGTTTTCGATGACCTAGACTATAACAAAATTTTAGAAATTGTTTCTTCGGAAGGGGAAAAAATAACTGTGAGTATAATATTATTTATTTTTGAAAAAAAAAAATCAAGATAGGTTAACATGATAACCGGAGAAAAATCACGAAAATACATAACAGTGCAAATTCGTAATGGAAATCATATGTGAAAAATTCCTTTTTCACACGTCCATCCCGAACAGACAAAATAATATTTATTAAATGATTTTAAGGACAGGGAACTTAAAAAAAAGCAAAATCAATGCAAAGAAAAAGCAAAGGAAAAAGCAAACTATTAACTTGTAAACTCAGAGATTTAGCTGCGAGCTTGGAGAAAAAGCACACGTGATTTTGGCAGTTCGATTCAGACAAAATATATTTTCCGTTGCAAGCTAATATGTTGAATTTATTTCATTAAATGCAAGTGCAGGCTTGTTGGACTCAATATAAAAAAAAATTAAAAAAAACTTGCAAATTTCTGTCAAATAGAAAAAAATCTATTCTAAATAGGACAGGAAAAGCACAAGGATACATTCGGTGTTAAAAATGGAATTTGAACCCAGTACTTCTATGCTTCATAGCGTTTGGTGAGAAGGAGATACCATTCGGTCAAATTTAACTAAGGTATGTTGAAGTGTTCTTCAGTACTATCGCTTCGATAGTACTGAATAACATAACGAACGCTGTGTCAGAATAACATTTGCTGTCTAACCATGGACATTTTATTAATAATAGAACTTAGCTCTTATATTCAAATGGTTCCTTTTGAAAATCAAAATTGGAAATATATGTGTGAACAACTTGAATTTTATTGTTGGTGGGTAATATTTTATCGGCACCACGAACCTCTTACAGTAGATGTAGGCTTATTTGAACTAAATTCTTTTTCTTTTTGGCACAACAACTCAGAGCAGGCTAGGACCCTCCCCCAATGAGGTTTCTTTCTATCAAAGTCTACTACATGCATGTTGTTTCCAGTTGGTCACCTTTAATGCTTTTTAATCTTTTTCAACATTATCAAGCCCACTGAGGAAAGATCTCTACCTTCTAATGCCCTCTGATTCGTTATGAATGCTATCCGCTTAGTGAGGTTGTTGTTTCAACCTAACGAAGAGTCCGTGATGCTTTATTGAGTTCAATTTTATGCTTTTCACCAAGTCTGTTTGCTTACATAAATTATAAATTTTATGATTGTGAAGAATTAACCTGACACTATTTTTCAGGAAAGCATCAAAAATTTTGCGTTATAGTTTTCTCTTAAAAAAATAGCTGTCTGTTGCGGATATGCTTACTCAATGTTTATCTGTCGCTGCTATACAGGACTACTGATCGGACTAGTGTTTTATTAGTACCAATTTCAGTTATTGCTAAACGAAAGTTAACTTTATAAAAGCTCAATAAATGCAATTTCACTTTCAGATAAAGACTTGTTGCGTTTTAGTAATATGAGCTGAATTAATCTATACAACTTCTGTTTTTGAAATTGAAAAACTCCTTATACCCTTTTCAATCTCACAAACTAGTTACTCTTGCCTCTAAAAACTTTAAAAAATTTCTCGATTTTTCATTAGAGCATACAATAAATTAAGGAAATGCTCATTTTTATCAATTTTATAGACATAATAAATGAAGCTATTTTTGAGGAACGAATTAAAATGTGAAGTATACTACTGACCACTGTAGTGAGCATTTGAATGATGAGATTCATATAATTTTCTTCTCGTGGTTTCAGTTGAACAAACCAGTCAAAGCAGAAGGAAATGTAGAAAGTTGGTTAATGAATTTATTGAAAATGTCACACCAGTCACTTCACAGTGTAATTCGCAAGGCTGCCATTTCTACGACTAGTCCTAAATTCACACTTATGGAATTTCTCAGAGATTACCCAGCTCAAGTAAGTACAAACTTTCTTAAGTTCAAATGTGATCACTGTTTAAGGGTCTTGTTACCTGATGTAACGCACAGATAAAATCAAATTACATTTGCAATAAGAAACGTATTCTGCTTTCACATTAAGCTACTTACAGACCTTTTGATTACTTACTGTGTGAAACATGTAGTTAGTTTATAGAAAGATAGTCACAAATTCTATGGCCGTCTGCTGCTATGGAAACAAGAAATAACGCATTTCAAAGAGGGGAGATTTTTCTCTACCCTGATTCTCTTTCCATCGCCGATCCGAGCTAAAACCTATCTTAAATATCAACCCAATACTTTAAAATAGTGAAATCTCGTAACCATAGTCACGAATGCCGAGAGAAGTTCTTAGCTTAGATAAAATATACTACCTACGACTTAGATAAACAATACTATTTCTAAAACTTATCGAATGCTCTCTTACTGGTTCAGAGCTCTCGAAGCTATGTCAGCAACTAAAAAGGTCCATAGATGATGCCACCACTTATGCTAAGCAAAAGAGAAAAACAGGTTTTCGAAAGTGTTATTGGGCTCATCAAAGAAAAACTTTAAAAAAAAGAAGAAAAAAAGTTTAAGAAAATTTAATTACTCAAAAGGATCTAGGCACACGCATGCTTTATTTCTTAAAATAATTAAATAAAAGTTGAAATTTAAGAAACGCGTTTCTTAAAGAAATAAATGCTGCAGAATTATTTAGCCAGAAAATAGCGTTTTTTTCTGAATTGGACATATTATTTTCTTGTAAAAAATAAACCAATGAGATTTTAAGATAATTTTAAAATACTTCTGACCTAAAATCATATTGAAAAACTAATACATAGACAATTCCAACAAATGAAGGATAAAAATAAAGCTCTATGTCATTTACAGATTCAGAATTTTCTGATTTATTATATTGCGCCAGAATTGAACAAATAATATTTTAAGATTGTGTTGTCGCGAAAATATAAATATATATTTGCATTAATGCTTATTTCATTTGAATGTCTTTTTGTTTTTTCAAAATTTTACATTCAAAAATTTTACAAAGTCAAGTAACAATTAACCAAGTCTACATTTTACCCATTTAAAATTAAAAAAAATTGCAATGAAAATATTTCATTTCAATTTTCATTTAGAATAATCAAACCATTGGTGATTTCTTAATAACAGTTATAATACATAAATTTTTGTTATAAATTTCACACATAAAAACCTATGTTCTAATCGAGAAAAATAAAATAGTAATCGCAAATAGTTAAGTAAGAGTCCTGATTTTACATTAACAAAGTCGGAAAACATCCTAAAAGTAGTTTTTCTTTTAGGTAGGTCTTCTTTGTCTTCAGATTATTTGGACTCGAGAATCAGAAGTGGCTCTAGCTTATTCCACTCAAGATAAAAAAGTTATGGAACAAACCAATGGACTATTCTTAGATCTTCTCAACACTCTAATCGAGGAAACTACTAAAGATCTAGGAGTTGTGGAGAGGACAAAATTTGAAACATTAATTACAATTCATGTTCACCAAAGAGACATCTTCAACGATTTGGTAATGGTGTCTGAAAAGTTTCATATTTATTATTTAAAACAAAAGGGAAATAAGTGAAATTTTATAAGTACTGGAAAGTAAAAAATTACAGTGCTAAAAATTTTTTTTTACCTTGAATTGATCTAATCTTTTATTTAAAAATGTCGTATGTTTAAAATTCGATTTTTCAGCATCTATTCAACCAATTTCGCTCAAATTTTGTATTTTGCATATTAAACTACATACTTTAAAATGATGTAAAAATTATTATATACCTTACAACTCAATATTTTTTTTGCTAGTATTAAATAAAATAATAAAAAATAATAAATATTTACTAAAATTTATTTTTTGCATGACATTATCTTAAGATATGCGAATTTTATTATTGTACACACAAATTTTTCGATTCGCTTAAAAATTTGCTGAGATATGGTGAAATACGCAACAAATATAATTAACATTAAGGGGTCTAAACTTTCCGAACTTTTAATCGAAATGAAACCATAACGAAACTGTGAGGATCGTATTTTCCAGATTGCAGCTACCCCTTGAGGGGTCAGAAATCCGATTCCGTTAAAAAAAGTTATGTTTATTTAGCGAAAGTACGTTTTTATGTCTGATTTCGCATTTTAATATATCGCCTGCACCAATTAATTAGCATATTTGAGGTCATCTTCTTAAACCATTAAGATTGAGTGAACGTGAAGATCATTAGATCAAATGTTATTCAGAGGTATCCGGTTTCTTATTTTTATTTTTTTTTTTGGCTCACTCTACGTATGTATTGCACTGAAATTTTATAACTCCTTAGGATATTACTTCATTGTTTCGTAACATATTTTTATTCGGCTTGATTTTAGCATTCTTTCAAACCTTACGGTAAGTGATGGTTCAGAGCTACAATTAATTCAATGCAATAATGTAATTTAAGAATTTTATTTTTTAAATTGCATGACTTTCAAATATTTAAACACAGATTAGATTTTCTTCGATTATTCAAAGCATATAAAGTAACAAAGCATAGAAAGTTACATGGAATATAAAGTAAAACTTTCAAATCACCATTGTTTGAAGTTCTTTTTTTTTCTTCTTAAATCATTGATCTGCAGATTTCATGTTCGTCTGCAGAAAAATTTCATCTGCAGATTTTCTTTATGAAAAAAATGTTAAACTAAAATTTAGAAGAGGTGAAATATTTTTCATATATAGTCATCGAAATGTAAATTTTCTCAGCACACTTTTTTATTACACGTAGTTTGAAACTTCAGAAGTTAATTAAAGTAATTTATTTATCAGTGTCGATATGGAATAAAATCAGCCAAAGATTTTGAATGGGTGAAGCAATTCAGATTCTACTTTGAGGCCGATGACGATCTTACAGCAATAGGAATAACAGATGTCAAATTTACTTACCAGAATGAATTTCTGGGATGTACCGAGAGGCTCGTCATCACACCTCTAACTGATAGGTAAATATTGAAAAATTAAACTGTGTAATATTAAAAGATAAAGGGATCAGAATTTTCTCAGTTTCGAATATTATAGTTTACTCGTAAAATTTTAAATTATGCAACTTACAGGATGTCCACCGAACTGATTCCGAAATTAAATATCTCGGAAACAAAGGGCGCTAGAGAAATGAAACAAATGGTATGTTTATTGAAAAAAAGAAAAAAAAAACTTAATTAAATTTAGTTACGGAATTTATTTACAGAAGTTATCAACAGACGGCGCTGAATACCATTAGTAACGAGAATGTCAGTTCTAGTGTTAAATAATGAAATAAGTTTGTCTTACCGGATTTGGAGTTTTAAACCACATATTTTATCGAACAACGCTTGTTTCGAGAGATCGGATTACAATCCTACGGTATTTGTACTTTTAAGAATTCTGTACATCATGCAACGAAATCTGTAGGAATCATTTGTAACTAAATCCCAAAATTTATGCATAATAATTTTTTTAGCTTTCACAATGGACCTATTGTGTGTTTTATTTCTCTCTCCCTATTATTTCCAAGATTTTTTTTTTTATTTTGAAATCACTTAGTAAACAGCTGGTAAAATAAGCGGTTTACTAAGTCAGGATTTTTATTTATACTGGTGATAGACTGGATTATGCGAAACAGCTTGAAAGATGAAAAAAGAGGAATAAGGTGGAATTTCACAACTACTTTAGAAGACCTTGATTTTGCTGATGACATCGTACTTATTTCATCAAAATGTACAGACCTTCAGCTTAAAACAGACAAATTCAACAAATATTCAAATAGTGTAGGTTTATTCATAAACAAGAAGAAAACTAAAGTAATAAGAATAAATCAAAAGAAAAATGACAAAATTAAAATCGAAAATCACGAAATAGATGACATAAAGTCATTTAGCTGTTTAGGTTCTATTGTAGATAAAAAAAAAAGTGGAAGTAGTGAAGATATTAATCAGACAGCGAATAATCAAAGCAAGAACATGTTTTAAGGGATTACATAAATTTTGGAGAGAGTTAAATATTGAAATGAAGATAAAAATAGTTGTTTACAAAGCTATTGTTAGAGCAGTACTATTATACGGCGCAGAAACCTGTTAACAGACTAAGATCGAAATACAAAAATTAGAAACCTTTCAAAACAAATGTTTTAGATTTATTTTTAAAATTTTCTGGCCTTACAAAGTATCAAGTCAAAATCTATTAAAGAAAGCTAAAATAAAAACAATAGAAGATGAAATTAAAAAACGAAGATGGAGCTGGCTCGGACATATCCTTAGAATGCCCAAAGAAAAAATTACATCTGTTGCGCTTACATGGGCCCCTGATGGTAAAAGAACAAGAGGAAGACCCAGACTTATCATCCAGCTCATGTTTTTGGACGAATTAAAAGAATGTAGAATATCTGCCTGGAAGGAAGCAAGATCTATTGCTAGAGACAGGAGGCGTTGGAGGGATATGCTAGAGGCCTTAAGTGCCCAAAGGCACGTAGAGGATAAGTAAGTAAGTAGAAAACCGCTGGACACTCTGTATATTTATATTTCATGGAAATGCCTTCAATTTAAGAATATTTAGGAAACTTATGCTTTTAACTTTAAAAAAAAATTTAGGACAAATATTAATAGCAATGCTTAGATTTATTTGTATTTTTATGATGTTATCAATGCAGTTTTTTGAAACATGAAAATTGAGTGAATTTTTTAAAAACCAATATTTTTTGTAAATTCGCAAATTGTATAGATGCTACATCACATTAGCTCAAGCTTTGCAATTGCATATGGGAGGTGCTCCAACAGGACCAGCTGGAACGGGGAAAACAGAAACAACTAAAGACATGGGAAAAATGCTCGGTAAATACGTCGTGGTGTTTAACTGTTCCGACCAGATGGACTACAAAGGATTAGGAAGAATATTTAAAGGTAAGAATAATGTGATATTGTCAACAGGATGTTCAAAAAGTGTGGAGGTAGTCAAATATCTGGAGAACGTACATCGGATCAAAAACCAGAATATACATGTGCGAAATAGTTTCAAAAGGTGCCTGAAATGAGCCTCCCTTGAGAGGCGGATAAATTTCCAAAATCACATAATATTTAGGAACACCCATTTTTTTTAGATCACAGATTTGGATTTCTCAGAATAAAAAAAAAAATATTTAAGAACTATAGGACTTTATATTTTAGTTTAGAGATGGCGTTGTAGTCGCAAAATGAAAAATGTGGCAAAAATGTCTAAAAAGTATTATATTTCTTGGGAGAAATACGGAGGGTGGAAAAATTAAAATACAGTAGAAGTCAGATAATCCGGCACGTTCGGGACCGGCTCGGTGCCGGACTACCGAAAATTCCGGTCTATCGGACGGTAATTATACGAACGATTAGGTTAATAATTAAACTAGCAAATAGATACAACAAAGTTTATTTTACATTTCATATAATGTATGTATGCGTACTGTAAAACATATTTCACTTAGATTTAAAAAAGTCACGAATGTCTTTTTGTTTTCTTGACTTTTGGCATTTTTGGAGTGTTGTATTTTTTACCTGGTTCCAAGACAGTGCAATAGCATAGACGGCATCTTTTACTGTAAACTTTTTTTGAAAATCAGTCACGTCACAGTCGGCATTTAACAGGCCTTGAATAAAAGACCTTCTTTAAAAGCATTTAAAATTTTGAATAACCCATGGGTTGAATCAAAGATGTTACGTTAGGTGGGAGCAGAGTAGCAACAATATTTCCAGAAACTGACTCATCTACTGGCGGGTGGGCTTTGCAATTGTACAAAAGAAGGATGGCTTTAGTAACGAGCGCTTCCGGATGATCCCGAACTACCCCGAAAACTTCCGAATAGCTCTCTGCTCCCGAATAGCTCGTTTTTATTTGCTTTAAAGATACACTTTTGGAGAAAACCAAAATTTTTACAATTTCGGACTATCGGGCATTCCGGACTGTTGGATGCCGGACTAATGGACTTCTACTGTAGATCTGTTTGATAATTTGAAACACTTAACTGATGACAAAAACTCAAATCCACCCAACCCCCTTATTTGGACGATTCCTAGATGGCGGAGCTCAGTTTGGGAATATAGGTTAAGTTTAATTTCACTAAATCGGCTTTTCAAAATATATCTTGAGATACATCTATTTTACACAATTTCTACCCCATTTTCATTTTGATAAAACAGAGCCATCTCTAATGCAAATTTAATGGCGAGAAGTTACATTATGCTATTATATAGGAGAATCCAAATTTGTTTTTAAAAAAGGGGGTCTTCTAATAGTTGAAAGTTTCCCCAAAGCAACCCAAGTGGATGAGATTGAGGAATCGAGATTGGTTTCATTAAATATATCCTTAGAAAATATCAAATAATTCGCCCAACTATTTTTTGACTTTCGATTCCAGATATTTGAACCTTATTCATATTTTTTGAACACCTTGCATATTAATTTATGTGTGTGTGTGTGTGTACAAAACATAATTTTACGAAAATTGCTTATAAAGTGTTATGTTTCATCAAATGCTGCCAAAGACTGGTGTTAAATCTATCATAATTTTAAAAAATGTTCTTTAGGAATAAATACTATAAACTGTAAGAAAAGAAAACAAAAAAAGAAGTTCTTATTTTTTTTTCTTTTTAAGAAGGAAATGAAATCAGTCTTTTTTTTTTATCGGTGCATCAAAATATAGTTTTCCTTAATTGCTCAGATTATTAAAATCTTGACTAATAGGGGGAGAAGGCTAGAAATAAAGCTTTCGCTTCTTATTCAATTGATCAATTATTTTTTTTTTACTTTTAAAATGTCTATACAAATAAATAAAAAGATGTATTTTTGCTTTTTGACCGCTGAAAGTTATAAAGAAAAAATGTCTAGTTAAAAATAAGTTTAACAAGGGCGGGGGAATTTTAGGCACTATATTGCAAAATCGCGTTACAGCTGCATTTATAATAATATTTAATAAATCAACAAGTGGAACCAAACTGAGAGTAAATAAAAATCCTTATCCATCTGCCAAGCTAGATAAGAAGATTAAGTTTCAGTAGTTTCAAATCGCATTTTGTATTTTTCCTTTTTCTTAAAAAACAGACCATTATCTCTACCATATATATGTGATCTTAACCATAGCGCGTTGTAATCCGTAGGAGAAAAAAAGAGAAGTTCAAGTTATGTAAAAAAATATATAAATATTATCTCTATTCTTTGCTTCAAATTGTTGAATAAATTATATCCAATTTATTTTTAGGCTTGGCACAATCAGGTTCATGGGGCTGCTTCGATGAATTTAACAGAATTGAACTTCCTGTTCTATCGGTGGCAGCTCAACAGATTTCAATTGTCTTAACATGTAAAAAAGAACATAAGGAAACCTTTATCTTCAGCGATGGAGAAGTAATAAGAATGAATCCAGAATTCGGAATATTCCTCACTATGGTAACTTTTATGCTTCTTTCTAACATTTCTTTTACTTCAAATTACTTTGTGGGCTTTCGCACATCAGTCTATAGCACTCCATTTACAAACAGTACTGGCTAAATTTGAGGTAATATAGCCTGACCAATTTTTCTTTACGGCTGAAAAAAGCTTTTGAGTGTTGAACTTTCATTAAGTAATTAAACAATTTAACCAGCTAAAATCTTTAACTGATTTCTGAAACTAAACTAAAAATTAAATTGAATTATTTTTAACTTAATAATTTTTAACAAAATTGAATTATATTTTATTTCTACAATTTTTCTGTCTTACCGTTCATCTTAGCTATACGATTTTCTTTAAAATATACCATTAGTTCTCATTTGAAACTAAATCTGGGCGTATCCAGTAAAAAGTAATTGCATTTGATAGTTGAAAATTTTCGAAACACGACAAGGGTTCAACAAATCATATTGAAAGGTTCCGGCAAACATCAGTATGTATGGAATAAATTTACTTACCTCGTAATATATACATGTATAGAGCACACAAAAAATGACCACCTTGAATAACTTTTGATTTAATGATAGGATCCCCACGTTCTAGGACTCAATCTTAAAGGTTCGAAGGGTGTTCCCAAATATGCTAATTAATTAGTGCTGACGATATTTTAAGTTACGAAATCAGACACAAAAACGTATTTTATGAGCATAACATTTTTTTAAACAGATTCGAAAAATATCATGACAAAAGGATAAAATTATTTCTCTTAAATATTGCGAAAAGATTTCATATGCACGAAAAAGATTGCCGTTTGGCTAACGTCAGAATTTTCTCATTTATCTTTGAATGTTCAGCTTTATGAGATAAGTTGCAGCTGCAAGTTCGTAATATAATTTCATGTTTGAAATCGTTAGCATAAGTTTTAGAAATATTTCATATGCATTTCAAAAGCAATTTACTCTAGTTTGCTTTTATTATAAAGGGAGATACCTTATTAGGTTTTGTAAGCTAAAAAAGAACTTCTGCATAATGTTTAATCTAAAAACGAAATAAATTAATATACCAATTCGTTCCATAAGCAAAACTTTACTTTGACCTGCATTAAAGATTGAGTTTTTCGTCTGTTATTCAAAAATACTTGATTTTGAGAACTCGTTTATATACATGCAATAATATTTATAGAATTCTTGTTAAAAATGGAAAAGTAAATAAAAGGAGATGCACATTCTAGGGATCGCTAAGTAATATTTATGTAAAGCTATAAAAAACTAACAGATAAAAGTATGGCTGAAATATCAAAACCTATTTAATTGTCGAAGGAAACAGAGAAGAGACAATTATTAGACACGCCTCAATATTTAATCAGGATACCCAGCTTGTTTTGATCCTTTCGGTACAGCCTTCCTTAGTAGTGATTCGAAAGAAGTTTTATTTCTTCTTAGCTTAAGCATAAGTAAGTGAAAAACCAGCACCCCTAATGATTATACCTATTTGACTTTCTTAACTAAGGAATCTAAAATCGGATAATTAGGGCGGTGATTTAGGAACACGATGTATGTTTATGATGTTTGGAGCATCACAACTGAAACATATATTTGTGATAATATTCATTTCTCTTTCCAAAGCAAAAAATCGCAAGAGCCGCCGTCGCTGTTTCAGGTGTTTAACTTTAAGTTACATTACGTTTTGCTACTCAAAAACGATAAGACTTACTAACTTGGAAATTCCAGTGAATATAGAAAATAATTAGAAAGTACGGGAGAAAAAAGTTTTAGCATTCAATCGATTTTTTTAAAGACATTATAACTAATAGAATAACTTAAAAGTCATATGATATATTTTTTTTAAAAAATCATCTCTTTTAACATAATTAGAGTGTTCTTTTAAAACTCAGTGAAATTTTTAAATCTGCAATATAGTTGTTATGTTATGATGTCACTATTAGATTTTGATGCCATTCAAACGTAGTAGCGAACATGACGAAATAAACATGAATTACGTTTTAGTGTTCTACAATGTCAGATAGCAAACTCTCAATATCATCTAGGCTTACAAATCTGTTGATAAAGGTACAATTTTTTCTGACAACAATGGAAGCACTGAAATGAGAAAAAAAAGTTAACGTCAAACAATTTAAATGACGATGCAATCTCTAAAACCGTTCCGTTAGCACGGAAACACAAATATTTAAAGCGTAATTACATGATTCAGCAGTTCTTTATAGCATTTATTAGAATATAGAGCTAGAATATTATTAGAAAAAAGAGCTTTATAGAATTCTAATGAGACTTAATGAATGATTCATAGCATTCATTAGCTCTCATTAGAAGTGTATAAGAGTAGCTCCGAAAAAAAAATTTCTTTAGAAAAAGAAAATCCGTTTTCTTCCTTTACCATTGGGAGAAAGCTGCAATCAATGGGATATTTAACTTTCGCGTCAAAATTTGGCGAACTTTATTTTTGTGCATATTGATGCTATTTTTTTTCCACATTAACTATGCATATCTATATATTAGAAATTATATGATAAGTTTAATAAAAAATTTATAAAAAAAATCTAATTCGCCCAATAAAGGACACCTGTCACTTTCATTGAGTTACTGAGTTCTGTAAACATTTTATTTTTAATACATTAACATCTTAATACATGTCAGTAAAATGTTTAAAATGATTATAAGTACAAATCGTAAATTTAAAATGCTGATTAGAAATCAACACAGACGCAACGTTTGCTAAAATAATTTGACTTATTCCCCCCTTTTCACTATGGATAGAAGCTCATTACCTCCATTTCAAAACTCAAAATATATTTAAAGTATATTCATTCTGATTTAGATATTTTTCACAGTGTCTGCCTAGAAGGAATAAAAAAGATATTTCACTTATTTTAAATTGAATTTCCCCCGATATGTTTTCAATAAATCAGATGCAAGAATGCTTTATTGTACAACTTATAAAATTTACAAAATATTGGTCTCGATATAATTTTCATGGTTAATAGAAAACTACCGACTGTTACCAGCCGATTCATATCACGTGAGGCTGACTGACTGAAGGCAACATGCGGATTATACGTATGCGTCCGTGAATTCGGTCATAAAAGTATACGAGAATTATTAATATGGCTAAATAACACAGTTTCAAACATTATCAGTAATATTTAAAACACTTTTAGCTCCACACAGATATCTATAATTTGTTTACATTTGAAAAGAACAAAAGTATATATAATAGCACCGTCTTGTACAGGAAATTTGTTTATACGCGATTCATGGTGAAGATTTTTGAATTTAGAACAGTAAATTAATAGCGTCTGCTGCGAATAACTATAAAATAATGGAGGTAGCCCAACGAAAGAACCAGGCCAGAAACAGCAACCTTTCGTTTCAAAAGTTGAACATTTTTCAATCGCCACATTGGAAGTTACATTTTCGTAGAAGCTGTGTCAAACCAACCTTCAGAAAAGCATTGAACCTCATTTTTTTACTTAGATGCCCGTTTATCAATCGCTCTATTGCTATAGTTTCAGTCAAATATCATCACAAACCTACCTTAAGAATCCGTGCTTAGCAACCACTAATTACTACTTGTTCCTTACATTGAAAGAATATTTAGCCAGAAGGCGATACAGTTTGGACAAGACAAGGGAAAGATGAGGTTTTGAGAAGATACCCTTTCAAAATAGGCGAAGGTTTTTGATAGTAAATTGCTATAAAAAGGATAAAATATTAAAACCGTAATATGTAATAACACTTATCAAATTTTATTAAAATATAATTTAAAAATGACAATATTAGAGTTACTATCTCCTTAGACATATAAATATAACGCAGGGTTCCCACTCAATTTCAGAAAAAAAAATTCCATTACATTTCCAGGTAAATTTCAATGAAACTCGAGACCATATTTTTATCAGAAAACTTTGATTCTTTTATTTCTAATGTGAAATATTAGATTTTCTGGGTAAAAAAATACTATTTAATGAGGATGGGAACATTTCAGTTTGACTAATATGTAAAATTTTTATAACAAATAATTGTAATAGATGTTAAAATTATTTAACTCGAATCTCAATAACTGATTACTGTTACTGACAATTTTAAGACTGGTTATTTTCCAGGCATGATATAAGAATATTCCTGATTTTTAGAGTTATAATAAAATTCCCTGACAATTCTAGCTTTTCTCTGTTCTCCCTGTAATGTTATTCGGTAAACTTCAGTCTTTTTTAATGNCTGAAATAAGTCAATTTTGTCTAGGAGTATTATGAAATTCTATTCTAAGACCCTCATAAGTTGACCAGAAAAAAAAATTCAGAAAAGTTTCTGTCATTTTGCAATGTATATTAAAATTTTACTTGTTTGGGGAAATAGTGTAAAAAGCTAATCTAAACCCTTTTGTGAGTTGACCATCTGGGGAAACAGTAGGGGGTCAGTTTCTGACCATTTCTTTCATTCATTCATTGAAAACAGCTGTGTTAGTTGAAAGGTTTTTCTTCCAGTTGCAATAGTGAGCATAGTCAAATGCATAACTAACGAAATATTTTTTTTTTTTAAAGTTAGTTAAATATTAGAATTATATGTAAAAAATTGAAGTTCATTCAGGTCTAAACACATTTCTTAAGATATTCATTTTGCAATATATGCTAAATATAATATTTAAGTCAAGTAAAAAAAAATTAAATAGCAACATGATATAGGAAACGAAAAAGTAAACAATGACCCACCCCCTCTATAAGTTGCCCACTTGTCTAAGTTGACCACTAAAACAATGCACCACAAGTGGTCAACTTACACAAGTTTTACTGTATATAGATTTTAGAAACAAAAGTCTTAACATTAGATTAACGAAATTGGATTTTCAACCTGTTTCAACCAGGAGTGAAAGGTTATAACCAGCCACATTTTAAATTATTATTTCTTTTTATAAAAAATGTTCTTCTTTTTAATTTTGAATTTTTATTGACCTTTTTCTAACGAAATGGTCCTGAGCGCACAAGTATCAAATTTAAAGATTAG